CGCGCACACACACACACACACACACACACACACAAACACACACACACACACACACACACACATTCAAACACACACACACACACACACACACACACACACACACACACACACACACGTTCACACACAAATATTGTAAGGCCCAGGAAAAATATATATATATAAATAAACAGTTTGCCACAGCCCCTCGTTTGTTGTCCTCTTCTCTCTCTCTGCCTACGGTTTACCGGGCAGTTCTGTTTGTGACGATATATATATATATATATAGGGTTCTTAAGGGAAAAAGAAGATGTTTATTATATAATTCAATAAATTTATATATATATATATATATCATCACAAACAGAACTGCCCGGTAAACCGTAGGCAGAGAGAGAGAAGAGGACAACAAACGAGGGGCTGTGGCAAACTGTTTCGTCGGAGTTTCACCGACTCATATATATATATTCCATTCCTTGATTGTTTCTTTAGTTGCATTGCATGGATAGGAAGGTACACAAGCTTGACAATCACAAACTTAAGCGCAAATCAAAAACTTATGTATATTCCAAGTACAAGGTACAAAGATACACATGTACAAGAGAGTGCATGCCGGTTGGGATATGGCTCCCCGACCGGTTTCGACCGCCGCCACGCGGTCCTCATCAGGGGGTTACCACCTTCTTCACCTCTAGCTCAAACGCGGTCTTACCACCAACCCACCCTCGCTGCTGACCGGCCAAGCATCTCCGGAAATGCTTGGATGTCAGCTACGTTGGCCCAAAAAGACACAGGCACACACACTCATCCTAATTATAGTTATTGCCCGCAGTTACACTCAATGCCTTTCACCCCGACGTGCGCTATCGAGAAATTCCCAGGATTACCTACACAGTCTACAAAGGAAAAAACCTTCAGCTACCAAATGGTACTACAAACTACAGGTCTGCAAAGTCCGCAGATCCAGATAATTCACTGTCTATAATCGCCAGACTACTGCCAGAGTTACGGCAGTGTGTTTGGGTCCCACCACCTACTGCCCCAAAAAAGCCTAGTTTCCGTCCCCACTGGCTGAAGGCTTAGCGACAAATAAACGTGCCGGAAATCCCGGGATCGAAACCCGTCCGAGGAAAACAAACCTTAAAAAAAAAATTCTCACACATCCGACAACGGTCCGAAAAAACAAAACTAAAAGTCAAAAAATAACATAAAAAGAAATAAGCAGAAAATCAAGTGCTCTCGTAGGTACAGGGTTCGAGACCGTCCTCAACAAATTAGAAAAAGCCCTGTCACCACATAGGAAAACCACTGATAACATCCACTCCGTGTCGACCAAAAGGATAACTATCTAATCCCACTCTGGACCCAAGTGCTATTTGCAAGATTCATGTTACCATTTCCGGTCAATTCTCAGTCTGGGTAAAGCCAACGGACAGTCCAACTCCAGGTTTCATCTCTGCCCTTTGCGAATCGCTTGACGACTCTCTCGACGAAGTCTGGTGGGAAATCCTTCATTCTTAGCTCCTTGGTCTAGCTCAGGACTTGCATTGGTATCCTTGAGCGAACGTTGGTATTACGATCAATCCTATGCAGGTGGGAGGCGATGACTGTGCTCTTTTGCGATTTACTACCCCAAGATCTGAACAACTGCCCATTTTTGAATTCAAGCATTTCATCCCCCCAGATCGTGCGTTCGTTCTTGGCTAGTTGGTAGCATGTCAGATACGGTGGTATCTGATGAATGCTCATCCTTGTGGCCCGAAAGTCCCATGTTCCGTTACCATCGTCCATACGCTTCAATTGCAGATTACGCGGGTAACAATTTTCTAAGAGCACCCGAATGTCCTCTGCAAGAAGTCGACTCCGCTTGCGCTGCAGTACCACCAGGCTGACATCGTCCATGAGGCGGATACCGAAGACGTCCCGGCGTGCCTATCCCAGACTTCGCAGGAATTTAAATTCTGCGTACGCACACATAATACAGGCTAACGGGGGGCTAGTACTCTTTCCCATCGGGATCCCCACTACTTGCCTCAGCGGTACCCCGGTAGCCCAAGTGTACGTGTGCCTCAGGTCCAATTCAACAAAATCCCTCAGTTCCAATAGATCAATAGTCCTCCAGTGGTAGTTCCCCGGTGTACGACCAAATGTGCACCCCTTCCCACGTGTATTCACTCGTGCAGTCTTCCTACCCTTCCCCCTATGGTAATCGATTAACCAATCCACAACATCCATGATGTCTACGTGGGGCAATTTGCTGAACATGTCTTTGATGTCGTACGACATCGCTGACAGTTCCGATCCAAAGCTCATCCGTCTCCCAATCCGCTTGTTCACCTCCTCCAACTTAGGTACTAGAGATTCTACGGTCTTGAGATTGAAGTGCCATTCTCTCGGAAATGTGAACAACATGTGATTCAAAACTTTAGCCACCGCTCTTCCAGTCCTCACCGTCGGTTCAGAATAGGTGGGCCAGATCAGACGAAAGCGTGTGAGGTCCTTATGCTTCGGTAAGGCATAAGCCTCCCCGATATTCCCCTTCGTATCCCATTTCACGAACTTACCGAGCCCTTTTTCCTGAGCCTCCGTCGGGAAGGCCACCATCAGCGAATCCGCCGTGTCTGCCTGCACAACGTAACCAGGACTCTTGACGAATAAATCCAGCATGGCTTCATAATACACCTTGGGGCAGAGAACCAAAGTTTCTCCCGGGTTTCTGTCTAAAGGTGTACAGACTAACCCAGAAAGTATTTTCTTCATAAGGTTTACTGTCTCCATATCCAAACACTTCGACGTCTCGGACTGCACGTCGATCATACACGCCTCCACCTCACCTCTGCCGATCTCCACACCCGCTCCCCGAAAGTTGGTCCACCTTACAAATCTGTCCGTAATCTCGCTCATCAACAGGTCAACCCTATCTGGGTGCCCGTGCTTCGGTACATTGTTTGCATTCACCAAGAGTGGGTGAACGTCCTCCAAATCCTGCAGTCGAGCTTGCACGTGTCCTCCTATCCGTGGATAGGGACAACCTGCGCATGTGCGGGTCGACACAACAGCACGGGCATAGACCCGCTGATTGTGTAATAAGTTCGCCACCGACGGGTTCCTACCCCAGACGATGCGAACGCCCAGCTGTGCAGAAATCTTCATGCATACCGGAATCTCTAATTCCTCTATCTTATCATTGAGCAATTTACGGACTTCCACCACTCGAATTTTGTCATCAAACTTCAGTTTCACCGTCAACTTAGAGTTTCACCGTCAACTTAGAGTTGACGTTCCAACCATGGTCAAGTTTGACCACTCGGCTAATCAGTCGTCGTAGGTACGCATTAGTAGCAGCCTTCTGGAAGTCTTGTGTGGCCCTCATCAGTCTCATCAGAGAGTCGAGGCTGCGCTTACGCAGCATCTCGATTCTTCGTTGGTTTCGTAAAATTGAAATCAAGAAAGGTTTATCCACATTGATCTTAGGTTTCCACCGTTGGAGATGTAAGACATCCACCCTCGCACCGAGCTCTCTCTCCCTCTTGCAAGCAGCGAGTTTACATCTCCTCCCATTAATCCGCACTTCAGATTTGCCAAAACTTGATCGGATTGACCTCCATCCCCCACACCAACAATTTCCCCCATGTATATACATGGAAAAGGTCATTCATTCACTAACTTCCTGCTCCGATAGGAACTGATAAACATTTGCACTTCCCTCCTCCGAATCCCTCACGCTTACTCTAACTGGTGTGACGCTCTTCAAGGTATGCTGTCCTTCTCCAGCAGGTGCTAGCCTTCCCCTCTCTCGTCAACCAACCCTCCTTCGCCCGACTCCCTCCCGTGTTACCGGCTTACCCGATGTGTTCAGCACCGGGCTCCAGTGCAATATGTACGTGCCCTCAATGGTAGTTAGATCCGCTTGCTAACACCTATCCACCGGGATCAGAACATACGATTCCGCTCCGAAACTTCTCCACCACCGATAGAGATGATTAGCTTTTTGCCCTCTATTGCATACTGATAAGTGCTCCCGCCAGCGTACAGACCCACTCCTTGCTGTCTGCCCAACATACTGCGCTCGGCAGGATGGTGAAGTTAGGATATACACGCAACTAAACTCGGTGCAGAAACAAAGCGCGCCATACCTACGAAACAGGTCAACCCATGCAGCAATACATTTATCCAACCAACGTATCTCACCATACAGCACCAGACAGATAACAACCAGCCTATACAGCCTCTCGACACTCTCATCCAGAATATCACATCTACGAAGTTCGATCAAAAGCCCACATAGGACCCAAAGTTTGCTCGGTGTTCACTGACCGCTTTCTGCTTCATCATCGACATCTCGATCGTCCCCTCCAGTGTCGCCTACATCTTCATCTGCCGGATACTGCTTCTCCTCCCCCTCATAAGCCAGCATCGTACGCTTCTCGGTTATAGCGAGGATCGCTTGCATCTTCTTACCGTCGTATGCGACACCCTTAGATTGACAAATGCGCTTGAGTTCTTTGACGTTCAGGTCCCCCAGCATATGGAGGTTATCCATAATGAACTTAAGCTTGCCAACTGATCCCGGAGCTGCGGGGATCTTCCTTCGTGAGGCTTTCGTAGTCTTTCGTCATGGGGTCTTCTTCATCGACTGATGTCGACAACCCAGCTGTAGCTTCCTCTGCGCCGTTCGCTTTGTCGGAGTTATCATGGGTGGGCTGTCACCCACGGCTTCGTTGTCACCGCGCTTGCGCTTCTCGTTGATAACAAGGTGCTCTGCCTGTCGGCTCAGCGCTTCAACGTCGCTGCTATAGCTTTCAGCATCATCGTCGCCCGATGATGAGGACAAGGCCATTCTGGCCTTTCCTTTGGCACGAATCATCTCTTTGCGCTCGCATTCGTACCTCTCCTGCAGGGACTCCCCCAGCTGTCCCATGTGCAAGGAGATCTCATTCAACATCTCTTTTCTCAATTCTTCTTTATGTTCCTCCTCCTTCTTCTTTTCCTCCCTCCATTTCACCTTTCGAATAGCCGCTTGACGCGCTTCCTCGGCTGCCAACCTTTCTTCCTCCTCTCGTTTTTGTCGAGCTTGTTTCTCCTGCTTCCGCTTTAGCTTCTCTTCCTTTTCCGCTTCAACGGCATCGAAGCCCTCCTCGATGCTGCGAGTTCCTCGAACTGCTTCCTCATGGCCAGATCCTCGGAAGCCGTCATGATGTCAGCGCCCGTCCCTGCTGCCTTGGTGATACCGATCGTCCACGTCGCCCCATATGCCATGTGTTGCCCTCGCCGACCAGCCTGGGGCATTGATTACGATAGTGTCCAGGTTCCCCGCATTCGAAACAAACTGGCGCAAAGCGTCTTGGCGGATCGTCGCTTCTATCCGAGTGACTAGGCGCACCCCTCTCCCACGTCCGGTCCCTTCGTCCTTCCTCGGATGGATCCGCTGCTCCATCATGCCTTCGAAAGTCGCCGCTTCGATCGTCTCCTCGGCCCCGTCGATAATCACGTGCGTAATCGGTGTAGATGCGTCCAGCCATCTCCGCTGGCACTTCGGAATTTGCGAAATGTCCGCGCCGACAGCACCGTGAACGAACCTGCAGAGCCCCGACACTCTCCCGGCGATATCCAACGCGCCTATAGGCACGTCAACAACGCAGGTAGAAATCGCTACGTCCCAATGGATCGGATAACCGCCCCGTGAGACTTCAATATAACGCAGCCCTCCAGGTGGTTTCCAAACACCTACAAACATGTCCACCATGCAGGGAGAAATCGCTACGCCCCAAGGAATCGGATCACCATGAGTCCGCCCAAATAACTCCTGCATTCACCATGTTCGTCAATGTACCTCCAAGGCTCGTAAACAAGGTGAAGCTTCCCGAGAAAAGGCACTCCAACCGACTCGGCTTCACTTTCTCCAACATTAAAAAACCAGGTTCCCAACCTTGACGAGAAGGACAAGTAACTCCGTCGCACATCGCGACATAAAGCCACCACACTTCGAGGATCAAACTTGCATGTGCACTAGTTATCCTTGACCCTGATCACCTAACTTCGAGCTTCGCTCCAAACTTAGCATGCTCACAGTACCAGCTAACAGTAAGGAAATCGTGCTCACACTTCGCCCGGCAACTTCCGAGGTGGTTCACACGTGCCTTCAGAGTTGCATTGCATGGATAGGAAGGTACACAAGCTTGACAATCACACACTTAAGCGCAAATAAAAAACTTATGTATACTCCAAATACAAGGTACAAAGATACACATGTACAAGAGAGTGCATGCCGGTTGGGATATGGCTCCCCGACCGGTTTCGACCGCTGCCACGCGGTCCTCATCAGGGGGTTACCACCTTCTTCACCTCTAGCTCAAACGCCGTCTTACCACCAACCCACCCTCGCTGCTGACCGGCCAAGCATCTCCGGAAATGCTTGGATGTCAGCTACGTTGGCCCAAAAAGACACAGGCACACGCACTCATCCTAATTATAGTTATTGCCTGCAGTGACACTCAATGCCTTTCACCCCGACGTGCACTATCGAGAAATTCCCAGGATTACCTACACAGTCTACAAAGGAAAAAAACTTCAGCTACCTAATGGTACTACAAACTGCAGGTCTGCAAAGTCCGCAGATCCAGGTAATTCACTGTCTATAATCGCCAGACTACTGCCAGAGTTACGGCAGTGTGTTCGGGTCCCACCACCTACTGCCCCAAAAAAGCCTAGTTTCCGTCCCCACTGGCTGAAGGCTTAGCGACAAATAAACGTGCCGGAAATCCCGGGATCGAAACCCGTCCGAGGAAAACAAACCTTAATTTTTTTTT